CCTTGAAACCCTTTATTCCACTGTCCCCAAACCCCTCCCCACTGTCCCCAAACCCCATCCCTGAAGTCCCCAACCCTCCCTCTCCCCCCAGAAGGCCCTCCTGGACCCTCTCACCTCCAAAACAGCCTCGTCCCCCCACGCTCACAGAAAGGTCAAGGGCATCTGGAGACACATTGGGGACACTTGGGGGGCACTGGGTGATTACTGGGGGATACTGGGACACACTTGGGGGGAACCAGGGGCACTGGGAGGGACTGGGGCGTTATTGAGGGATGCTGGGAGGGTGCTGGGAGGGACTGGGTGATTACTGGGTGATTACCAGGGCAAAAAGGGAGACACTGGGAGGTTACTGGGCCATACTGGGGCTTACTGGGTGCTCACTGGGGGTCATTGGGCCATACTGGGTGGCAGTGGGAGGTCACTGGGAAACACTGAGTGGTCACTGGGGGCGTTACTGGGCCATACTGAGAGCCACTGGGAGGTCACTGGGCTATACTGGGGGCACTGGGATCCCCTTACCCGCATGTCGTTAATGTCCCTCCAAGACTTTGGGTGGCACTGCCAGGACCCCTCCCCTGAGGACTCAGGGACCCCCTGAACCCCTCTGATAGGCTTTAGGGACCCCCTGAGTCCCCCTCCCTGTGGGGTCTCTGTGTGCTGAGTTTTGGGGGTCTCTGGGGTTCGGGGGGGGCTTCAGGACCCGCTTTCCCTGCGGTCGGTCCGCCCAGCCGGCAGGGGGCGCTGTGGCACGAGCGGCAATGGCGGCACCGCGCGAAGCGTCATGGGACATGAAGTTCCTCGTGAAAACTCCACCGGCGCCTGCGCAGTGCAGCCCTGGCGTTTAAACAGCCCCCCCCCGAGGGTTCCAAGGCCCCAGCCCTTTCAGGGACCCCCGAAACCCCTTCAGGCACCTTCACCCTCCCCTCTGAGCGCCCTCAGGACACCAAATCCCTTCCGAGAGCCCCTCACGGACCTCAAAACCTCCTCGGGAACCCCCGAGCCCCTCCTCTCCACTCTGCCGAGCCCTCCAGCCTTCCCGCCCACAGCCGCGCTCCCCGCAGCCCCCGAGCGCATCCCCAGCCCCGCCGCAGCCCCCGCCAGGGCTCACAAAGTCGAACAGTCCGCTCACAGTGCCGAGCAGATCCCGCTGCCGCCGCCATCGCTTTCCCGGCAGCCACCGCGGGGCTGTGCGCGCGCACCGCCGGCAGAGACCCCGCCCCGCCCCCTTTTCCGCGCGGGGCACGCCGGGAGTTGTAGTTGCAGCGGCTCAAAGCTCCAAACTCCCCCAGACTCAATTCCCCACGGGCGTTCCTGGGGCAGAGCGGGGCAGAACCGGGGCGGGGACGGGACGGGCATTGGGTGGAAATCATTATAAAAACTGTAACCCCTGCGTTGGAAGGGATGGGTGTGAGTTTGTATTCCTGGAGCCTGGAGGCTCATGGAAACCTCTGCTGCTTCTCTGACCCCTACTGTTATAAATTAGTATAAGAATTTAGACAACTCAATTCCAATTAAACATTGATAAATTTATTAACCAAGCAATAATAAAGCAAAACAGCGCTGGGTGGCCTGGAGGGCAAGTGCCCTGCCAAGGCACACACAAAATGTAGTAAATGTTCCTTTTTATACATTTCCAAGTCCCGAGTTTTGAATACGGCTGCGTTGAGGCTTGAGTTCGTGGCTCGTTGTTAAGTGGTCATCTGGTATTTGTCAGAGATGAAAAGGTGCAGTTCTTATCAATTGTAAATTTTACTGATACTGATACTTGTTTGTTTAGCAAGATGTCTGCAATTATTTTTACTGATGCTTGCTTGATTAGCAGGATGTCCATGAAACTTATCTTGTTGAGTTATAACAAAAGTTCCTTATTCCCTCATACACATAAGATTTTATGAACAAAGTTAACCCTTCTATTATACCTACCTAGTTGGGCCTGGACTCTTTTTCCCTCATCAGCCTTTTAGGCAACAACGTTTATGGGGTTTATGAGGACATGGCCTTTATGAGGAGAGCCTCTTATGAGGGGTATGGGCTTTCTGAGGACAGCACCTTTATGATGTGCATGGGCTTTATGCAGAGAGATCTTTTATGATGAGAGCTCTTTTATGAGGTGTATGGGCTTTATGAGGACAGTGCCTTTATGAGGCTGCACCATTGTGAGGTGGATGGGTTCTATGAGCACAGAGAACTTCTGAGGCCTGCCCCGTTGTGAGGTGGATGGGGTTTATGAGGACATGGCCTTTATGAGGAGAGCCTCTTAGGAGGTTTGTGGATTCTCTGGATGTAGCCTGGCAAAAAGAGAGTGGCTGAAAAAAAGGGTAAAACAGTGGGGAGAGCCCTGAGGCTCAGATCCAGTGCTGGTGGGGGGCTGTAGGGACAAGGCAGTTGTACAGAACAAGGCAGAGCCGTGGGGGCCCTGTGGGGCTGTGGTTCTGACTGCAGCCAAACCCCCCCATCCCAGAGGAAGGCAAAGGGCACACAGAGATCCGCAGCCCGTGCGAGTGCAGGCGCTGGGGCAGTTCCAGATGAACACTGTGGCCATCCTGCAGAGCCTGACTGAGAAAAAGAGCCTTTCTGGGGAAGCCTGGGCTGGCTTGGGTGCAGGGCACTGGGGACAGAGCCCACCCGGGGAAGGGAGGGACAGTTAACAGGGCTGGGCAGAATTTTAGGCTTCTTCAAGGGTCAAAAGCTCTTTGCCCCCCACCCCGTCCGGCTCACGCTGTTTCCTCAGCACCTTCACTTGCTCAGGTGAGGCCAGACTTGAAGACTTGGAAAAGCAGATTGCCCACAAGAAGGGATCCTGGCAGAGGGCTGCAGACCTCGGATGGGGCACAGGGATGTACAGGAGCTACATGGCATTGTTATTGCCAGGTTATAGTAAAGCATCAGGGTTTGTTCTGAGATCTGAACACCCCCAGGGGGATGTGGATTGGATTTTTAAAAAAAATCCTGAGAACACCACAAAACCTCTGCTGTGAAGCCAAGGTCTTTCACCCATGGCTGTTGCCTCGTTCCTCCCAGCTGGAAGGTCTGGGATGAGGGGAGATGACTGTGTGGCCAGACAGGTCTTTGGGCAGATGGGACACCCAGCCTTTCCATGGAGCAACCAGGATGGCCCAGCCCTGCACAGCCCCCCAGAGCCTGGCAAGCTGCTTTGCAAGAGGAAAAACCTACAGTGGTGTCACCCTGAGAGTTTCTCTTGTCTCAGCATCTGCTGCCAAGTGGTGGGGCAAGAAGAGGCGGGTGGCACAGGCAGGGCCAGCAATGCCTGTCCCACTCCTGCCATGGTGCCCAGGTGGGCTCCCCTGGGACAGCAGGTGGCAGGAATTGTCAGATCTCCCTGTCCTGGTTGGGCAGAATTGTTTGGGAATCGCTATTATCTTGTCTGGTTTTATAATCACACAGCAAAATGGTCATTACTCTATCAATATGTGTGTGTGTGTGTGTATATCTATGTACATTTAATTTTGAGAGCAGAGCAGTGCTGTTTTGAAACTCATCTTTCCTATAAAGAAGTTTCTCTCCTTACAATTAAACCCTTAAGATTTGTATGCCCTATGCCTCTCCTTTCAGCAGGGCTTCAGAGTCCCAGAGGCATCAGGACGGGCCCTCTGGCTTTTGCAAGGTCTGCTGTGCTCAGGCTCCACCAATCCTTTGGGGAAATCTTTGCTGGGTGAGCAAGCCAGGCTGCTGCAGGCCCAGGCTCAGCTGGAGGGAGCCAGTATGGCATGGACGCCGTGTCCCCATGGGCAGGGTTTGCTTTGGAGCCTGTGCTTGTTGGAACACAGGGATCTGTGAGCTGAGCTGGGGATGGACCCGCGGCCCGGCCCAGGCGCCCCATGGAGCTGCTCTGGGCTGTGTGCTGGGACAGGGACACACAGGACCTGCTCCTGACACGTCCCTGCACACTCCACAAAGAACCAGCAGCATCTTCCTGCCTTTCTCTAAGCACAAAAGTGTGTTTGCTTCCTCTGCAGGGGTAACCCCCCATTCCCCACTGTTCCCCAGGAAGCTGCAGCCCCTGCAGGGCTCATCGCGGCCTCCAGCACTGAGTGCTCAGCACAGGCAGCACATGGAGCTGCTGAGAGAGTGCAGAGGAGGCCTGCGAGGTGCTGCGAGGGCTGGAGCCCCTGTGCCCTGAGGAAAGGCTGCCAGAGTTGGGGTTGCTGAGGCGGGAGAAGAGAAGGCCCCGGGGAGGCCTCAGTGCGGCCGGGCAGGAGCTGAAGGGGCCCAGAGGAAAGCTGGGACAGAGTGTTCAGCAGGGCCTGTGGGGAGAGGACAAGGGGGCACGGCTTGAACTGAAGGAGGGTGATTTAGGGTCGATCTGAGGGAGATGTTTTCTTCCAGGCAGGCTGGAGGGGACTGGCACAGGCAGTGCCTGAGAGGCTCCGTCCCTGGGAATGTTAAAGGGCCGGTTGGACGGAGCCCTCAGTAACCTGGGGTGGTGGGAGGTTGCTCAGGGTGGAAGGAGATGATTTTTAGGGTCCCTTCCAAGTCAACCCATTCAAGGATTCCATCATTCTCTGGTCCCCATCCCCACAACTCCTGTGCCATCCCAGCTGCCAGAGCTGTGCCCCTGTTCCATGTGGAATGGCCAGCACCAGCACCCAGCACAGTGCAGCCATTCCCCTGCTGCCATCACACCTTTGTGCAGCTCCCAGTGCAGCCTCTGCACTGACCAACCCTGGCTGTGCTCTGAGACAGCCCTTCCCCCTGCTCAGAGACCACCCTTCCTCCTGCTCCCAGCACACTGTCCTGCCCTGCTCCCTTCAATCCCCAGCAGTCCTGAGCAGCAGCTGCTGTGTGGATCTTGTCCCCCATCCCAGCAGGATGCTCCCTCTTGTCCTGAGGAAGGTACGGGGCCGTTCCATGCAGGTGGGCACCCCTCGACCGCCCGGGGGGCTGGAGCTCTGTGGGGATGGTGTGGGACAGGGACCCCATTCTGAGATTGTGCCCCTGATGCAGCTGAGAGAGACACGGGAGAGGAGATGGAAATCGATATGGGATTGGATAGTGAGGAAAGGATGGAGATGGATCTGGAGGAGGATGTGCACGAAGAGATGGAGATAGATCTGGAGGAGGACACAGAGGAGGAGATGGATCTTGAGCAGGAAGATGAGGAGGAGGACATGGTGTTGGGATGAAGACCCCCAGCAGCAGGACAGGCCCGTCCTGGCCATGCCCTGCCCCAGGGACAGGGGGTCACTGCCGCCAGGCTGGGGCTGGGCTGGGTGGCCCCGCTCAGGGACACGGTGCCCCATGCCCGGGATTCTGGCGGCACAACCCCCACCCCTGGCCTGCCCTGCGCCTGCTTTGGGCCACACAAGCCACATCCCAGCGCCTGGGGCCCAGCTCCCATCCCCAGCCGGGCTCAGGCCTGGCGCCAGAGTCCCGCTGTGCCCAGCGTGTGCCAGGCTGGGGGCACAGGGAACACCCAGCAGGGCCCGACTGCACTGACCCTGCCCTTGCTTTTCTTCCAGGACTGACGGACACACCGGCCATGGAGTCAACCATGTTGGATATATGTTTTAGATATTGTTGTTCTTTTTCTGTAAATATGTTTCTTTATTAGTTTTATCAAAAGAATGCTTTTAATAAGAAGATTGTTCATTTTTTTTAGAAAGTTTTATTGAAGAGAAGATTTTTTTTTTTAAGAAGTTATGTTTTTTTATTAATAAACTTCCTTTTATAAAAAGATTATTTTTTAAAGGAGATTTTTTTTTTCATAAAGATTCTTATTATATAAATACATTCTGTTTAAATGTTTACTCTGTTGTTGTTGTGTCGTCCTTCTGTAACTACATTGTCTGGGGGTGCTGGCACGGCCCCCCCGGGCTGGGGGTCCCTGTGCACAGAGGGGTCCCCCTTGGGAAGGTGCCGGCCCTGGGCACTGCTGGTGCTGCTGGGCTGGGGCAGAGCGGTGTCCCCAAGAGCAAAGCTGTCCCCAGCACAGAGGGGGGGTGACATGAGCGGCCCCTGCAGCTGCCCCAAAGCAGGCAGGAAACCTCCTGCTGCCCTTCCTGCTGCAGCCAAAGGCACTCCTGGGCCCAGAGCCGGGATCAGGCCGCAGGGAGGCCAAATCCCAAGGGAGGCCTCCAAGACCATGAGAGCCTTGGGAATTGCTGGAGGCAGCATGTGGGGAGAAGGGTTTGGAGCTGCAGGGACTGTTATTTAAGGCTTTAAGCTCCAAGCACTCTGGGTTCCCATCCCCATGGCACTGCCCTGGGCCGTTGGAGAGCCCAAAGCCCAGGTGACCAGAGAGAAGGAGTTGCTGGTGCAGGAGAGGGCTGCCCTAGAGGCGCGAGTGGCAGCCATGGAGCGGGACCTACAAGGCCTTTCAGAGCAGCTGGCAGAGGCCAGGTAAAGGCAGGGAGGAGACTCCTGATGGGAGGGAGAGGACTGACGGTGTGCAGTTGTGAAGGTGGTAAAGCATTACAGGAGCACTGATTGCATGTCGTGTGCTCTGCAGATGCTTTTCACCTTCCATGGGCAATGGAAGAGTCTGGAGAAAAAAGAAAAGTACACTGTGATTTGAATGTTAGTGTTTGGACAGCTAAAGCTGGCAGAGCACTCTTAGACACTTTGGTTTGTGAGCCCTTGCACATTCCTGTGCCAAGTCCCAAGGAAGCCAACTTGGCTCTGAATTGCGTAGTAGGGAAACCAGGCAGATGTTCACTGACCCCTGAAGTTCCCTCTGGTTTGGGTTTCTTCTTCTGTGCTTCTGAACAGCAATCTTTCCTTGCCAAGTACTTTGATATGGGATCTTCAGAATTCAAGGCCCTTACATGCGAACCTTGTGACCAGGTTGCTGCCCTTTAGGGTGAAGCTCGAGGGTCACGCTGAAAATCTTGAGGGCCTTCAGAGATGAGCACCAGGAAGGAAGGCTTAGGCTGCAAGCAGAGCTGGGTGGAGGAGCAGAACCAAGGGGCTGAATGAATGGGCTGTTGAGATTGCCAGAGGGAAAATGCCAGCATGACGGCAGGTCCCAGGAACTTTCTCTCCATTTGTGCTTCTAGCACATCAAGGAAAAGCTGGAAGCAGAGCTGCAGGAAGCGCAGAGGAAGATGAGGGCAGTGGAGAGGAGGCGACAGGAAGAGCTAGAAAGATTCCAAGAGGAAATCCGTCTCCTGCTTCAGCACTGGGAGGCTCTACAAAACCAGGTGAGTGAAACAGCAGTAGGCACTGCAGTCATGCAAAAGGTGGTCTCTGCCCTTCTTGGCTTTCCACTGCAGAGCAGCAGGCTGGTGGGGGGAATCCCTCTGACTGCCATCCTGCTGTGGTCGCAGCTGCTCTGAAGGGCACTTACTGGTCCGCTGACTCTCAGCTGCCACCCTGGACACCTCAGCTTGCAACCTCTCACCTATGTTGTGTGGCAAGTTGAAAGCCATCTCCTCCACCTCTGTGCAGGTCCTGCAAGAAAAGGCACGTGAGAAGACCGCTCTCTTGGAGAAGCTGTGCCAGACCCAGGTCGAGCTGCTCCAAACCCAGCAGCAGCAAGGGCAGCGCAGGCAGGAGGTGAGAGAGGAGCGACACAATGGGCAGGTAAGCCTAAGTGCCCAGTGACAGGGGGGAGGGCAGTAACAAGGGCCTGCAAGGAAGATTTTGGGACTGAAGAGGGAAGGACCACTGCAGGCAAGTCCCAGCAGGTGATGGGTCTCAAAGCTGAGCAAGATCTGAGTGAGGCACAGGAACTGTCAAGGCAGAAGGTGCTGGAGGCTGAACACTTGTGGACGAATAGAGGAGACAATGGCAGGAGATGGAACATCCCAACAGGGAGCTGCAAGTGTGTCTGCAGTCCTTGGAGCGGGAAGGGAGGAGTGGGGATGAAGGGGAGCGATCGTTGTTGCAGTCATTTCTCGGAAACTCTGTGAAAATGTTTAATTAATCCCTTGAAGAGCCCTGGAGGCAGCATCTTGGTGAAGGCTTGCATTGCAAATGGGATCTCTGGGGCATCTCTGCCAGCCACCTTTCTGACACAAACCAATTGCTTGTCCCAGATCTGCAGAGGCGAACCTGCCAGCGAACCTGCTGCTGCAGCAGCCCCCTGGAACGCAGCCCCCACTCCCCAGCCTGAGAACTCGAGCACCAGCAGTTCGTCCAGCTCACGCCTGGTCGCAGAGCAGCTGCGAGAGCTGAGAGAGGAGGAGGCCCTGAAGCTGCTGAGTACGTCTGGTGTATTTCTTGTCTGCTACAGCAGTGTCTTGTGTGCATGTCTCAGCTTGAGCTGTGCCACATGGTCCTCCTCCCTTTAGTGTCACACAGGCATTCCTGCCTCCCTACAGATCGTGCTGCTGTGCTTGGAGGCAGCACTTGGGAGAGCACTCGGGGTGTTCCTCCTGCCTCTGAGGGCAGCTGCCACTGCCTTGGGTTTGCCTGAGCTTCCTCCTACACTAAAGGCAAAAGCAGGGATTGTTCCCAGATGAGCCAAAGGCTCTGACCTAGCAAATGGCCCAGGGAACTCCTGTCTGCTCGTGGCCAACTGGAGCAGAATGTTTGGCGTCCTAAATTCTCTTTAGACTTCTGACTTCTCACCCATCATTAGAGCCAAATTACTTCACTGAAATCACTTGCTTCTGGTGTTGATTTCTCATTGGTGTCATTTTTGCCTCTTCTGACTCTTCTGACTACTAGCATTACTTCTACAGTTAATTTTTGTGAGAACTCTACATTTTTGCCAGAGAGAACTCCCTTGGAAAAATATCGGGTGAAAACATGAAGAGAAGAGGAAGGAAAAGGCGTTTTCAGTCGGCCCCAAGAGAAAAAAAATGATACTTTGATAACAATCCCTCTTTCAGTTCTTAGTTTTATGCTTCTAAAGATGTATCAAGGAGACACATCTATGTGGCATGATCAGGTACAAGTGCCCTGCAGGCAATTCTCACCACCAAGCCTCCAGCCCATCCACTGGATATTCCACAGGTTCAGGGCACTTTATCATGGCCAATTCCCAGCCAGTCAATACTCCTGGAATGAGAGCTGACCACAGGACAGCTACAAGCCCTGCACAGATCAGACCTTAGGGAAACAGCTTTTAGCCCAGTTTCCTCTGTGTCTACCATCAAGGGACGAAAAGTGGATTGATCTACTCCTCCGTGTGTCTGTTCTCAAAGACAGTGAGCTTCTGCCTTGAATGTGGCAACAGCTCTTAGCGGGGCTCAGCCTGGCTGTGGCTTCTTCACAGGGTTTTCAATGCTCTTTCTTGGGCTTTTTGGTGGGGGTGTTGGAGTTGTGATCCAGCTGAGCACAAAGGGCTCAGAGCCCCAGCCAGAGAGGCTGCCTTTTGGATCTGCCTGCAGCTGGTATCTCTGCTTTCAAGACAGCATGTTGCATTTTGTGTCTTTCAGGGAGCATTGTGAGCATTGGAGATCCACTGAAGAAATACACGGGATGGGAAAATATTGGCCAAGGGTGAGTGCAACCACACTTGCTTCGACAAAGCCAGGGGCCAGGGATTTTGCTGGTGCCACACTCAAGTGTGAAGTCGAGCAGGCTCCCAGAGTGCTCAGACACGGGCTCAGAGTCTCCTGTCTCTCAGTGCTGATCAGAGTTTCTTTGCTGCTCTTCTGTTTCCAGGGGCTTCGGAACCGTGTATAGAGCATTCGATGCTGTCACAGGAGGAGAGGTCAGTGCCAACAACCCCCCAGATTTTGCAGCTCTTGAGTGCTCTCCTCTGCGGTGTGAGCTGTGGCTGGAGCCCTGGCGCGCCAGACTTTGCTGCAAAGGATGTTCCCCTTAAGCCCAGGCTAGAGGCAGCCTGCAAAATGCATTTGGGGCAGACTTTGTTGTTCTTCACTACCTGAAAGAATACAAGGAGAGCAGCGTTATCTTGCAGAGAAGGACACGCTAGCGTGGTCTTATCTGATAAAGGGGCATTGACTGGCTGATGGCGACTGCCGTCGTTCAGGCCCAATTTCTCTCCATCCCAGGTTCAGACAGAGAAGATTTAGCTTCTTTTTCACCAGGGCTTTCATCTTGAAAATCTAATGCAAAAGCTAATGAAGGAGAGATCACGTTTGCAACGCAGTTTTGGCTTTCAGTCCTAGTGAAGCTACTTGGCACACACACTGACCAATGAGAAGACTTTTCCCAAGAGCAAAGATCTCTCCTGAGCAGTGCCATCCTGGTTTGGTCCAGTGTCCTTTACAGCCCATCACAGAGATGCTCTTTGTAATAAGCGGATACGGCAGTGTCTTAGAGAGTCCCTCTGCTCTTTGGGGTTCCAGCCCCACATTCCTGAATTCTCATTTCTGGCTGTCAGCAAATACATCAGAATCTTTGTGGTAGTTCCTTATCCACTGGCAGTGCTGTGCTTGGGAACTGTGCCTAGAGAGAGGTCTACAAGGCGTCTAAAAGCCCTAAGCCCCGCTTATCACCTAGGGCCTATCCCATTGCAAATCTCAACCATTTCATCAGTAATATGATTGCTTTCCTGGGCAACTGAGAATAGCAGCAGTTTGTGAAATAGGCATCAGACCCCCTAGAAATGTGAAGGCATTCCCAGCTGTTTGGACATATTTCCACAAGAGCAAAATTGCTTTGTGCTTGCCAATCATCTGTAAATGATAATAGTGGTGACACACTAGGGCCCTTTGGGAAGAATGTGGGTGCTGAGTGTTGTTAGAGCTTTGTGGTTGCTAGTTTTGAGACCATTTCTGCCAAGTGCACAAGGCAACACACCCATGGCCCTGGGCCCTGTAACTGGCACCCGAGGGAGCGGAGAGAGGGGCTCTTGGAATGTCAGTTATGAAGTGCTCTGACGTCGAACCACGAGGCCATTGGGCACAGCTTGCCTGTGACATTCCAAAACCGTGCACTCCCTGCTCGTGGTGGTCTCGTGCAAGAGACTTCTCAAGGTCATGGTTGTCATCATCATTTTAGGTGGCCATCAAGCAAGTCAAGCTCCACCAACAGAGCAAAGAGGAACTCCTGAAAGAGATCCTGGTCCTGAGGGATAAGAACCACCCCAATATCGTTACCTATTTAGACAGGTAAGCAGTTCTGGTACTATCATGTTAATGTTCAATTACATAATTGCAAGGTAAAGGTTAGAAAGCTCTTTACTCCCCAGCAGAAAATGGATCTTTTAATTTATATTATTAATCTGCTTGTATACCACGTATGGGAGGAGATTGCATTTGGTCTGCATTAGTGCTTCCTGGCATCCATAGCTTAAACACTGTTCTCAAAAACCTGGATCTCTTCCTAAATCAACAGCCTGTATGTTCTCTCCCTTCATGTTGTAGTGGGCTTGGATGTTTTTCGAGTGTCTCATTCCTCTCCACGCTGTGGTTTTCCTCTTCCAGCTACCTTGTCCGTCAGGAGCTCTGGCTGGTGATGGAGCACATGGACGGAGGCTCTTTGATGGATGTTATTAGCGAGACCTGGATGGCCGTAGGACAGATAGCAGCTGTCTGTCGGGAGGTAAGGGATCCCACTTATGGTGCTTCTGATGGCTTGGAATGGATGGTCCTGGTAAGGAGGCAGTGTGAACAGGAGGGATTTCATCTTCAGAGCTTTGTTCCTGTGTTCGCTTGAGCGAGCTGCCTGTCAGTGTCCCGGCACTTCCTATACTCTGCTCTTATGATCCTCTTATCTACCGTGGTTTTACTGTCTCGCTCTGTCTTTCTTTAAATTTATTTACTGTTCCCCACTTGGCCTCTCTCAGCATTGGCCTGGAGCCTGTCTGTATTGCATTGCTTGCCTGTAAAAGCAAAGGTGCTGGTGGCAGAAGTTGGGAGGAATGGCAAAAGAAAAATCCAGACTCATTTTTGCCACTCCTCAGCTTCAAAGCACAGCACAGCCCCCAAGACGGTGTTTGCTTCTCAAGACTGACTAATGGGCTACTTCCAAGGCTGCTGTCCAGGCTAGCAAGAAAATCTCCATCACGCAGCCTCCCTCCCCAAAGCGACCCACTTCATGCCATTTGTTGGCAAAGCCTCCTTTGTCCTCTGGAGGGAGAGAGCACAAGCAGTGCAGCAGCAGTCATTCTGGATGGCTTTGCAGGGCACTGGAGCAACAAGGGACGTTTCTCTTTCAAAGCTGATACGCCTTCACTTAGAAAGACACTGCTCTGCTAGTGTTGGAGCAGCAAGCTCTTCCGCTTGACAGCACCATGCGCTGGCTTCGCTCACTATTCCCCTCAAAAGGGAGGAATCTCTTAGAGCAGTTTCCTTTCTTGTGGGATGAAATCAGATGGCACAGTTTTACCCTCTGTTTTTTTTTCTCTCTTGCAGTGCCTGCAGGGACTGGCTTTCCTTCATTCCAACTGGGTCATCCACAGAGACATTAAAAGTGACAACATTCTTCTGGGCCTGGACGGAGCGGTGAAGTTGGGTGGGTGTTCTTGGTTGGGCTCAGAGTTCCGGGCATGCAGTGTGGGGCTGCTGTGGAGTGACTGCCACTTCCCCAACAGCGCTGCTGAGTGGCTTTGGGGGGTGTGTGTCCCTTCCAGAGGCAGGGAGTTACAACGGAAGCCTTCAGAGGAATAAGTGAAAGGCACTGCTTGAAGCATGGGACTTTTGTTCTGTGGACAATGCCCTATTTCCTTGGTTGAAGCCTTTAGGAAACAGAGCACGGCTACTTTTGCAGATAGATCCAGCACCTCCTTCTCAGACTTAGAGTGGGCCATTCTTTTCCTTGGTTTCCTAAGGGAAGCGTGTTTGAACAGTGTTTGTCTTTCTCCTCAGCTGATTTTGGCCTCTGTGCTCAGCTCACCCCTGAGCACAGGAAACGGAGCTCCATGGTCGGGACTGTTTACTGGATGGCCCCTGAAGTTGTGAGAAGCCAACCCTACGGCCCCAAGGTGGACATCTGGTCTCTTGGCATCGTGGCAGTCGAGATGCTGGAAGGAGAGCCTCCTTACTTTAAGCAAAGCCCTTCCATGGTAAGGTGCAAATGCCCTCAGGCACAAGTGTCTTTCTAAGCCCTCCCATCTTCTGCCTCAAATGCCTCAAAATGCCATTCCCAGCAGCTTGAACTACTTCCACCAAGGTCCACTTCTAAAAATCTCCCTGGAGCACACCAGCATCTGCTGGAGCTCTGTTGCCATCAATGGCACAACCTCAAAAGAGAAACTTTCACTTCAGAAACCTTTCTTCTTAGCCTTCAGTGGTGCTTGAAATGTCTGGTGCAGGTTTTGATCTTTCTCAGCTCTCTCTCTCAACGAGACAGTTTCAGGCTTCTAAATCATCTGTACATTGTCCTGTCACGTGTCTGGGTGGTCTGGGTCAGTTTAGGATCTTGCTTTCACAGACTGCAGCCCTAATTGTATGCCAAATCCTTGGCTGTTTCTTGGGACGTGAAAGAAATCGATGAGCTTGTTGCCCCTTTGCAGCTCCTGCAAACACGGATTTCCTTTGGGCTGCACTTGTTTCTCTTTGCCAGCTGCATCACAGGAAACCAAAGTTCAGCTTCCCAGAGCTGAACAACCCTTTGCACGGTTGTAGAAATATTGCAAAGGGCTGGTACCTGGCTAAAGATGACTCCCTGATCATTCATGGTCCTGAAGAAACTGGTAACCCAAAGAGCTCCGCTTGTCCTGGCCCTGCTGCTTGGCAGTCGGGTGACTGTGGCTGGAATCCACCATCTGCAGTTGGCACGGGTGCCGTGTTCCCTTCTGCTGCAGGAGCAGTGACGTCCCTCGGGGAGCACAGTTCGAAACACAGGGAGGACAGGCACTGCAGCTCCCCACTGTGTCCAGGGGCTGGGACCAGCTGCAGAGGGACAGCAGAAGGCTGATTTTGTGGCTTTTCATTCCACTGGAGGCTGGAGCTTAAACAGCAGGGTCTGGGTGCTCAGGTACGGCTATGGAAGAAAGAGGCAGAGGCTCATGTTTCCTTTCTCTTCAGGCTCAAGACCTCATAGCCAGAGAAAGGACACCAAAGCTGCAGAACCCCTGGCTACACTCCTCTCTCCTGCATGACTTCCTGAACTGCTGCCTGCAGAGGGACGAGGAGAGGCGAGCGTCTGCCCAGGAGCTTCTGCAGGTAAAGAGGGGAGCGGCTGCAGGTGGAACAGCTGTCCCATGTCAGAGATTGCTTCGGGGCTAAGCTCCAAGGCAGCAGATGGGCCCCCCTCCTGGTAATCTCCATGCCTGGTGCTTTTCCAATGAAAACTAAGCAGGATCCTACACTGCTGGGGGTTGCAAGGCACCTGTGAAGGTCATCGAGTCCAAGTGCTCTGCCCTGGGTGGGGACACCTTCAAGGAGATCAGGTTGCTTGCAGCTCCTTCTGGCCAGACCTCAAATGTTTCCAGGCCTGGGGCACCTCCCAGCTCCCTGGGCAACCTGTGCCAGTGTTTCACCACTCTGCCCAAAAACACCTTCTTCTCAGAAGACACCTTGAGGAATGAATTTGTTGATTATGGGCCAGCTTTGCCTGGGATAGCAAGGTCCTGGACATGAAGACAGAGTTGCAGATGGTCCCCTCTGTCCTATTTCTGCATCCTTCTGGCAACCAGAGGAGTCCTGCTTGAGCCTGTGCGAAAGTGAGTTTGGAAAGTAATGCTTCCTCTCTTTTTTTTTCCCCTTTTGGCAGCATCCATTTCTACAATCAGCTGAGCCCCTCTCCAGACTGGTTCCTGTGATTGTTGCAGCGAAGCAGTCCAGGGACTACAGGAGATAACCAGATCATTTCAGGACAGCTTTCTCTGAGTGGAACTCCGAATAAAAACTTTGTTAGAGCTCAGCTCTTCTAGAAGATTCCCTTTGTTGTCAAGCGTGAATAAGCTCTACATTTCCTTCTCAATGGCCCATTGTTTCTTACTGATGGAAAATAACACTCATGCAGTTTTTGCTATGGTTTTGAAGTGGGAAGAGGCTCCTTCCTTGATCAACTCCACACTGAACTGAACTGAAGGAAGGGAGCGATGGGGGCAGGGATGGGGAGAGGGACAAAGGAAGGCAAGGAAGGAAAGGTGGTGAGGGGAGGGAGGGAGGCAGGAAGGAAAGAATGAGGAAGGCAGAAAGGATGGAAGGAAGAAAGGGAAGCATTTCTCCTGTGAGTTGAGTCGCCGTGGTGAAAAGGAAAAAGGGGCAATTCTGGCTCATTCCCAGTAGGCGGCTCCCGAAGTACGGAGAGGACAGCAATGCTGAATGGCCCTTAGGGACAGAGTTCACTGGTGGACATGCCAGTGTTTTGTTAGACGCAATCATCTTAAAGATCCTGTCCTCCCTGCACAATTCTGTAACCTTGCAGAAACCCTCAAGGGGTGGCAGAAACCCTCTCCTCATGCCAAACTCTGCAGGAACCCTGACCAGGCTTGTCAAGGACGTGCAGGTCTGGCTGCCTTCTTGCCCACAGCAGCAGCAAATGAGTGCACAATAGGAGGAGGCCTTTTTTTTTTTTCTTCTTGCTTTGCTAGGGATACTTCTTTAAAAGAAGGTTCATTGCCCAATTGACTGCAATTTGCCAAGTACAGGGAGAAATCTGCTAAGGAGGGCTGCACCCTCTCCAGCTCTTGAAAGGGCACTGTGGAGACCTTCCAGCCCAAGGCAATTTCTCCAAAGGTGCCTTTTCAATTCACTTCCATTCTCTTCCTCACAGGAACACACTGCTTGGTCATCCGCCAGACAACCTCTGCTTTGGAAACTCTTCAGGACCGGCTGTCAAGGCAAAGGGACAAAAAGAAGAAGATGGTGGAATGGCTCCTAATAAATAGTTGTTGGTTCATCTGCACTTGGCAGCGTTGAAGTCTGAGTGTCTGTCGTATCAGTCACTGGGATCTGAGTAGCCCCAGTGCTTGACACTGGAACTTGAGTAGCTGCACTGCTCATTGCAGGGAGGGAAGGAGCTGCAGTTTGAGTGGCCCCCCAGTAAATGCAGGGCGTGGTGCAGGGACAGAAGTGGCTGCAGTGCCTGTGGCTGGAGATTGAGTGGCTGCAGTGCCTGTTGTGGGGACTGAAGTAGCCCCCATGCTTGTCACCAGAATTTGTGCAGCTGCAGTCGCTCTCCTTTTCCTTCGAGCTGCAGTGCTTGTCCCTGGGTTGGGGTGACCACCAAGCATTGCTCATGCCTAAACAAGATCTCAGCCATAGGCAAGCCCATGCTGATTCCCGGCAAAAGGGCCAGGCTGGTTTCAAGGGGGATTCAAAGGACATTCAGAATCTTCAAAATTCTCAAATACTTCTGCTGTCAGCCTAGAGGACTTGTGAAGAAGGAGGCAGGGAGGTGGCCAGCCGTTGGCCTGCTTGGTCACAAGGACACACTGCTGGTTCCTGAACACCTTGTTGTCCACCAGGATCCCCACATCCTTCTCCCATCAGCTGCTTTCCAACAGGTCAGCCCTCAGCCTGTGTTGGTGGGTGGGTTCATCCTTCCCCAAGTGAGGACCCTGCAGTTGCCTTCAGCTGAACTTCCCATGCTTCCTCCCCAGCCTGTCGAGGTCCTTCTGAAGGGCTGCACAGCCCTCTGGGGTCTCGGCCACTCCTCCCAGCTTTGTGCCCCCAGCAAACTTACTGAGCAGGCATAAATTATTCTGTCTGGATGTAGGCAAGAATTGCTAATCACAATTAGGTCTTTATTGAATTTATACTTTAAAAAAAATTTAAAACTATATATAATTTTAATAACTTATTAGAAACACACTGAGAGTTCCAGTAGTTAAAGGAAATTTTCTGCTATCTGAAGAAATAGTTTCCTTTTTTAAAGGTTCTGGAGCCAAAAGTTAATTCCGTTCTTTTTCCTCTGATCGCATTACACCAGTAGAGACATTGTCTCTTACTTTTCCCAAGCAAAATACAAGCTCTATATCAAATTTCTGCATGAAAAAGTACAGAAAAATTCTGATATCCATTTAGCAATTTAATTCAGCATGTTTAGATGCAACATTTATCAAGGTTTCTTTTAACAGGTGCTTTGAAGCCTGTCAGACTCAGCTGTTGTCTGTGTAAGCTGCTTTTCCCCAAACTTTCATTGCTCTGCATTAAATGAAATCAACCTCCTCTGGACACTGCTGGAGCCAAGTCCTGTGCACCAGAGCATCACTTGCTTACTCCCATGCTGTATGTGGGCACAGGGCATGTGACTTCGGGGTGACAGATTGTTTTCACAAAAGTTCTTGAGCCGTAAACTTTTCTAATTGGAGGAAAAGGAGGCAGATTTTTATATTTTTTGTTTATTTTCCCATTCAGTCTGATTCAATTAAAAAGGAAAAAGTCAGTTTTCATTTCAGATCCATTTAGCTTATGGTGCTTTATGAAAAACTTGGTCAAAGTTGAAAATTTCCATAAAACTTTTCTTCTTTGAGAATAAACAGACTGATGCATAAATCTTTCACATTAGACCCAGCTGCCTCAGAGCCATCAGCATTTAATGCCAACAGCTGGAATGAGCAGTCCCTGGATTACAACTGCTATGTGAGGATGAATAAAGATAAGAGATTGGTCAGATGCCGGAGCTCTTAGCCAAGAGTAATTAACATTTTGACCCGCCTCCAGAAATGGATAGTGTAGGTAGTGAACATGCTATTAAAAGAGTAATTAGCAGAAGAGATGCTCCAGTCTCTTTTGCTGCAAGGCCCAGGTAGAACAAACCTCAGTAGATCAGACTGGAGTCAGACAAGGACATGGACCACCTGGTCACCCCTCCAAGCCAAAGCAGGTGGAAATCGGAGAAAGTGCTGCAATCAACCTCTGCCAGGCAGTACTGCAGCTTCCCTAGCACCGCTCATCTCTCTGCAGTTTCCCAACAGAAGGCCCAGGAAGGGCTTTGGACCCTGATTCTGGATACGTTTCCTTCCCACCTAGGATTATTTAAGAGGAACTTCCTTTTGCTTCACAGCCAGATGTCTCAGACTCGAGACCTTGCTGAGGAAGTGCCATCTGCTGGACTAGGTTTCCTTATAAAGCAGAAAGTACATGTATGTTGATGGGTCCCAGGGTAAAACTGATCTTTTCAGGTAAATTTTGGGCCACCTCCTCTGCAGATTGTTTTTGCACATCTGGAAAAAGAGTGATTTGGTTTTGAGGTTTTTTTTTTGTTTCATTTTCCATCCATACAGCTGAGCAAGAAAAAAGAACCAGAGAAACAGTTTACTGTTTTGAGATGCTTTACTTGTAACCATGGAATTCAAATCAAGCTTTACAGCTGTCCACAACCCTCTTGGACAAACTCCACAATACAGAAAAAATTACATCCATTTGGAGTTTTGCCCTGTCCCTTGAAGGCTCCAGGTAGGTGACAGCAGAAGACAGGAAATTTCCATCTTACTTCCTGGGCTAATTCCAGCAGCTTCTAAGTGAAAAATAAGTGTCTCTGAATTTCATAATCCTTCTGTTATGTTTAATATTATTGCTATTTATCTGAGGTACACCATGGTAATGACGGGAGTTAGAGAGGAGATTTTCAAGTGTAAGGCTTTGGGAGTCAGTGCTGAAATGAGAACTTCTGTCATTTGCTCTAATGTCAGTGATGAATGCTACCAAAAATCTCACTTGAAAACTCTCCTATCAAATTCTGCACGCATTTATCTCCAGCAACTGCAGTCAGAGTAACTGCTAGACACTAGAGAGGACAAAATCTTGAAAAGCTGTTCTTTGTGTAGCTGCCTTAGCCCACCGGTATCCTACATGTTTATCATCCTGTTACAACACTGATTCCCAAAATGTGCAGAGCTGTGGTAGTATGTTGAGGACGGTCAAGAATATAAAACTAGACACCTTTCTGATGATGGCCTACATTCAGCTTTTTATTGCTTCGTCCAGTATATTACATCTTGTTCTCACACATCTGCACTGACACTGTCTGTAGAATCTTACATACCAAAATTATTCTTAGCTCTGTTATCTATAATTTATTACCAGCCTTCACATATGATTGGATGTTCACTTCTTATTTACATTCTTTCTTTGCTGGTCATGCTCCACGGCCTTACTGTACCTCCCAACACAGAGCACTAAGGCAGAGGACGAAAATAGCCATGGGAATGAGCTAACGAAAATATAGGAGCTGCTGTAGCTCAGAAAGTGTGAGAGATATTAAGCTTTAGATGCTTAAGGTTTGTGTAGAAAAATCACTCTCAGTCCCAAATGGAAACTAATTGCATGTAATTTCCAAGTCTGCATCCAACCAACCAAGAAAAACAGACACTGGACTGTTGAGCGATGGCTCTGCAAGGTTCAGATGCAGTGAGATGGTGCAGAGGGAACTAAAGGTAGCTCTCAAAAGTAACTTAGAGGTATAGGGTTGTATGATGTTTATGTTTGCACCTTACTTTCATCTTACAAGTGTCCACTTGTGTGTGGCTTTGGGGCAGCTCTTGCTGCAGGGATAGTCTGTTTTACAGAAGGCTATGCTGCAAAAGCACAACTGTAACTTCACTTTTCTCTGAGATTCTTGGTAATTTTGGTCATTTCTTGAACAGGTTTTTGTTTAACCTAATGACTAAGAATGGTTTGGCCTTTGTTTGTTTGTTTTCCCCAAAAAGTATCTTTATTTGTATGTAAATAAGGGTATTCATGCAAAGCCAAGAGTGCTCTTCAGTTACTTCTCCAAATTATTTTTTTAAATATTTCAGTGAGGAGGAACAATGGCATTCCCTCTCCAAGAGGACAATTAACAATCACACAAGGCAAACAGTTTGCATGCAAACAACTCAGTCGTTTCAATGGAAACTGTATTGATAT